AGCCCTGTGTCCCCCAGCCCGTAAATACACCCACCAAACGGCTCTACCCGACGTGTACACACCCCTCTGTACCCCCCACCCTGTTCGCACACGTCCCCCCATACGTGCCAACTGCACGTGCCCGTCCCCATACACAGCCATACCCCATACGTACATCCTCCTGTACCCCCCGCCATACGTGCGCATCCCACTGCCTTCCCCACATCCCCTAAACACATACATGTGCGCCCACCCACATACACAACCATACCCTATATATATGCATCCCTGTATCCCCCAACCCACCCATACGCATTCCCCCCCCAATAGCCATCCCCTATACACACATGTACCCCTACTCCGTGCATACGTGTCTCCCCAGACCATACATGCATACGTATGGCCCCCACCTCACCCCACAGGGATTTCAGGACCTTGAGGAGTGATGGGACATCCTCCCCCCCCCTACGCTGGGATGTGCCCCCTGAACCGGGACGCACCTGGAGCACGATGGCTGGCACCGAGAAGATCATGGCCTCGTTGAACACGGGGTTGGTGTCGTCCCTCTTCACCGCTGTCTTCTTCTTGCTGATCTTCCTCCCGTCCTGCAGCAGGTACACCTTGACGAAGGGATCTGCTCGGGGTAGGGGGAGAGAAAAATGCTGGAGTCAGTCGTGTTTCCCCTGCAATGCGGAGAAGTAGGGGAAACCATCTCTGGCGGACCCTCCTGGAAGGGTCTGTCCTCAACGGGAGCTGCTCCAATGAACATCCATGTAGCGTAGTAGGATAAAGCAGGATGAAAGCCCACCTCCAGCCCGCAGAAGACCAAAGGACCCCTGTGCCCACCCGGCATCCCCCGCTCACCTGCGGTCACCTTGCCGTTGGTCCACACGAGGTTCTTGGCTTTGACCACCACCACCGTCAGGCGCTCGGCCGTGGGCAGATAGCTCAGGGAGAGCAGGATCTCCCCCACCGTGTCCACCGCCTGCGGGACACAACGTCCCATACCTCCAGCCCGCAGAAGACCAAAGGACCCCTGTGCCCACCCGGCATCCCCCGCTCACCTGCGGTCACCTTGCCGTTGGTCCACACGAGGTTCTTGGCTTTGACCACCACCACCGTCAGGCGCTCGGCCGTGGGCAGATAGCTCAGGGAGAGCAGGATCTCCCCCACCGTGCCCACCGCCTGCGGGACACAACGTCCCATCGCCCATCGACCCAGCCCAGCAGGGAGGAGAAACCCCCTGGAAAACCGGGGTGGGAGATGGACCACGCACCCCCCCTGCCCACCTTGTTCACGTCCTGCAGGTAGAGCCAGGCGTTGAAGGGACGCGTGGCCAGGTCCAGGTCGGAGAGCTTGAGCTCAGCCACGCCGGCGCTGACGTTCCGCTCGTCCTCGTCGATGCCGAAGGCGGAGAAGCGCAGGCTGTTCTCCTCCAGCGCCGCCGGCTCCAGCGGGATGGAGAAGCGCTCGTCGAAGGCCACGGCGTAGGCACTGCGCTGGATCTGCCGCGGGGAAGGATGGGGGTTACCTGGATGCCCACCGCGTTTTGGGGCTGCGTCCGAGATCGACCCCGTTTCTCCTGCGGGAATTGCCAGGAGCGCAATTTTTCAGTTAAAAACCTAAGGTTGGTCTGGCGCATCCCTGTGCCCGGGGAGCACGGGCACGTGCCCGGCTCGGCCCCTCTGGGCTGTGGAATTTGGCCCAGGGGTGTAACTCCCAGCCCCTCTCCGAGCCGGAGCCGATGGGTTCCGCATCCCTGAACGTGCTGAAGGGGGAGGATGCTTGTTGCCAGACATCGTCTCTACATCACGTCCTTCACCCAGAGCAAAAGCAGCAGCAGATAACCGGCTCACA